TGATAGAGATGATAGATAGACAGATAGATATAGATAGATGAGAGAAATTATATATATAGAGAGAGAGAATGATAGAAATAGATAGATGACAGATAGATAGACAGACAGACAGATGATAGGAGAGAAAGATGATAGAGAGATGATAGATAGATAGATAGATAGATAGATAGATAGATAGATAGATAGATAGATAGATAGATAGATAGATAGATAGATAGATAGATAGATAGATAGACAGATAGACAGACAGACAGACAGACAGATAGACTGATAGACAGACAGACAGACAGACAGACAGACAGATGATAGGAGAAAAAGATGATAGAGAAAGAGATGATAGAGAGAGATGATAGATAGATAGATAGATAGATAGATAGATAGATAGATAGATAGATAGATAGATAGATAGGAGAGAGATGATATATAGAGAGAGAGACAGAAAGACAAATAGAAAGAAAAAGAAAGAAAAGGAAGGATGGAAGGAAGGAAAGAAGGAAGGAAAGATGATAGAGAGAGATGATAGAGATAGATGAGAGAGATAGATGAGAGAAATTATATATATATAGAGAGAGAGAATGATAGAAATAGATAGATGATAGAGATAGATAGATAGATAGATAGATAGATAGATAGATAGATAGATAGATAGATAGATGACAGATAGACAGACGATAGGAGAGAAAGATGATAGAGAGATGATAGATAGATAGATAGATAGATAGATAGATAGATAGATAGATAGATAGATAGATAGATAGATAGATAGATGATATATATAGAGAGAGACAGAAAGACATAGAAAGAAAAAGAAAGAAAGAAAAAAAGGAAGGAAGGAAGGAAGGAAGGAAGGAAGGAAGGAAGGAAGGAAGGAACGAGAGAGATGATAGAGAGATGATAGATAGATAGAGAGATGATAGATAGATAGAGAGAGAGAGAGAGAGAGAGAGAGACAGAAAGACATAGAAAGAAAAAGAAAGAAAAGGAAGGATGGAAGGAAGGAAAGATGATAGAGAGAGATGATAGAGATAGATGATAGATAGATATAGATAGATGAGAGAAATTATATATATAGAGAGAGATAATGATAGAAATAGATAGATGACAGATAGATAGACAGACAGACAGATGATAGGAGAGAAAGATGATAGAGAGATGATAGATAGATAGATAGATAGATAGATAGATAGATAGATAGATAGATAGATAGATAGATAGATAGATAGATAGATAGATAGATAGATAGATAGGAGAGATGATATATATAGAGACAAAAAGACAGAAAGAAAAAGAAAAAAGGAAGGAAGGAAAGAGAGATGATAGAGAGAGAGATGATAGATAGATAGATAGATAGATAGATAGATAGATAGATAGATAGATAGATAGATAGATAGATAGATATAGATAGACAGATGAGAGAAATTATATATAGAGAGAGAATGATAGAAATAGATGATAGAGATAGATAGATAGATAGATAGATAGATAGATAGATAGATAGATAGAGTGAGAGAGTGAGAGAGTGAGAGAGTGAGAGATGATATATAGAGAGAAAGAGAGACAGACAATAAGACAAATAGATAGATGATAGATTATATCTTTGACTAGGAGCCATAGAAGAGATTGCTGAGAAAAGAGGGGAAAAAGAAGCAACATTTCCCAATGCAGCAAACCCAAATTAAGTTAATTTAATATATGTCTAGGACACAAAAAAGAATTAAACACTAGGAAAGAATTGATTTTTTAAAGATTGAGATTTAAACATGCACAGGTACCTGAGGATTGTTTATTACTGAATCTTATTATTGAGTACAATTAGAGGCAAATTTTGAACTGTGACATCCATTTTCCAGCAATTACTGCTTCAAGAAAACAGAAGTGACCTTAAGGCATCGATTGGACTGAAAATGAAAGCTGAGGGATTGAAGAGCTCTCAGTTGCCTGATACAGGGCTGAGAATTCAAATAACCCTTTAGGTTCTAAACTGTGATTAACAAAAACAAATGTTGGTTCGGTGGCTGGATGCAGGTGGTGACATTTAAGGCCAGTTGTCTACAGCCTCACTGGGTGACACATCACATAGCCTATTATCTTCCCTTCAAAGTTTCGCCTGGCCTGCCATTTCCTAAAACTCATAGAAGTTGCTGGGATTATAAAAATTTACCAAAAAAAATCACCTGTTTATTTCTTCTGCCTTTTTCTAATCAGTTGGAAAGGGAAGATGAGAAGCAAGAAGAGAACGCACCAGAATTTATTAAAGTCAAAGAAAATCTGAGGAGAACATCTACTACGCTAACAGGGGCAGAGTAAAGCATCAGCTAAGACCAAAAGATTGTTTGCTTTGAATACCTATATGCTGACATTTTGGTAAACGGTGGATATTCAAAGTTTTGTCTTGGGGGCTACTCACTGTACATTAATGCTTGCTCCAGTTTAAAAAAAATGATTGGGGCATTTTCACATCTGGGAAAAGAAGAACATCCAAACAATGTGGCTTTTTGTTCACAGAGGTTCTCAGATGAGAAAAAGGATAAGGAAGGTAACAGAGACCTCGTCTTCCTTTCAAGTATTGAGATAATGCGGTGCCCTTTCCCATCACTAACCTTAGCTAATCCTTTGAGATTCAGCAGGACAGGCGCACGTGTGGAGTGGGAGATGTTGTCTGAAGACAGATGGCTAAACCTTTGGGATTCAGATGTTCATATAGCAGAGCAGTTCCATTGCTGGTATTGAAATCTTCAGTTTAGCTAAATTACTGCTTGAGGGAGCAAGTTGGGAAACTAAAAAAGATGGTAAAAAAAGAGAAGTCACGATCAATAAGGAAAATACTAGCTAAGATTTAGAGCACATCGACCAATGCTGGCTGGCATCTTAGATGCTGTATGTATCCAATCAAACAATATTCAGTAAATATGTGTGTGATTCTTCGTTATTGGGATTTAGCAGACATGAAATGATATTTTAAGATTCTTGTCACAAATCTACATCCACAATAGTTACATAGTCAAGTTTACTATGACAAATAGACACTGAGTTATTTCCAAAGAGTGGGATTGTCCACCAGTGTTTCAGCATATAATTCTGGTGTCCAGAATGAGAAACAGAAATAAGATAAGATACTTTATGGAAAGGATCCTTAAGAGCTGCAGAAAAAGTAGGAGAAGGTGCAGTCCTCTGAATGTGTATTAAAAAAAAAGTATGAGAGCAACACAGAAAGCATACAATCTCTGTGTATGTCTCAAAAAGCAAATGACAAATCCACAAAAAAGGATTTGCGAGAGAAACAGCAAAGAATTTTAGGGAGAAAGTCAAAGAACGATACCAGATGTAGGGTCTTCTAAATTTTGCACAAATATAACACATTAAACTAAGATTCTTTTAAATATATATATATAATAAAATTGAATATTATTTATAGATTATAGCTACATGAAGTCTACTCCTCCCAGGTGCTCTTTCCTGATTCTAAAATTCTGATTATGCTTACTATACAGATATTTACTATAATACAGACTGTTTTAGATGGCTTTTAAAATATATGACAACAGCAAGGCAAAAAGGTGAATTGCCAACCCCTCCTCAGCTCTGTTTTCTGGAGGTGGAGCCAGGAGTAGCCGACATGTCTATCCAAGGGAGGACCATTCATTTTTGGGTTTTCAGAAGGATAGCTGTGTTTTTTACACCAAAAACTAAAGACTTCTTAAAATTATTTGTTATTCATTTATTATTCATTTAGTCTTGGACTGAAGATAAGCATAACCAAAAGCCACAATAGTTTTTTTTTTCTTAGTTTCACAATTTATATTACAGATTATGGTCAGCTTTTCTGGTAGGGTGGACCCTCTGAGATGCAGATGACCACCAGGAAAGGACCAGCCAAAATAATACATAACATGTATTATCTATATGTATCATCTAGAACTCATATATGACTTGATTGTAACCACAGATTTGGGGGTGGGGGAAGCTTATTAATAAAGAGCAGTTGTATATTTTGTGGAGTCTATATTCTGTGAATTAAAGCAGGCAACAACCAAATAAACTTAATTTCACTGTTTAAAATTAATAATAAAGATGACAAATTTCTGGTGTTTTTTTTTAAAGTTACACCTTCAGAGGTATCAAGAGGAACGAGTTTGTTTTCTCACGTCTTCCATGTTGCCTTTGAGATGCATGGAGATATATTGGGACCGCAACATCATGCCAAAAAAATCTGGGAAACTGATTGTGGGAAGGTGTGGAGCATCATTTGTCAAATGGGATTATAGGGAGATGGGTGCGAGAGGGAAGAAAACCAGCAGAACATGACAACAACAAGATGTTCCTGCATTTTCAAGTTGCCACATCAGAACTGCCAGTCTTAAATCAGTTAAAACCTCACAGTCATGATGTGGCAGAGTTAGGCAAGGATCTTGATTGGATATTGCATTGAAGCTGTATAAAAGAACACACAGCACTATGTCAGAATATTGCTGTGTTTTTCTCCTCCTGTTCTAGGGCATTTCAGATCTAGTGCCTCATGGCCTTGAAACTCAGTGATTGTTTAACTATTGATTTAACTGTCAAGTGTGCTCTGAGATTTGCTGGCTTTAGATTTTCCCCTTCTATCTGTCCTGAAGCTATTCTCTGTGTGTATAAAACAGCCTTTACATTGAGTGGATGAGTCCATGCATGATTTTCTTACACATAATTTTTTTTAATAAACCACAGTTAGGTTATTCACTCAGCAAATACTCTGCAAACACAATGGATAAATTTCTAACTTGCTAGGCCTACCATATCTGGACTACTAAAAATAAGGACTTTAAAATACAGCAAAAGCTGGTGTCTTTTCTATATTTCTCTGCTACTGTCTCACAATCCTTTGAATTTTTGCAAATATGGTAAATCTATGAATCACACTGAGCCATAATATGGCCTTAGATTTTTAGCATAGCACAATGTAGAGAGTCAAGCATCCAAAACCATTTCCAGTGTAAAGGGGACAAAAGCACAATGCTTTTCAAGTAACTGGAAGCAAGCACATTGAATTGGCTAGCTGGATGACATATGTATTGGGCTATTAGATCCCATCTTAATGAATTCAGTATGTAAGCAGAAGTGCTTAGAAATAT